TGGACAAGGACTGACTAGAGACTGGGACTGTTGACTCAGCACGGTAGACTTCCACCACTTGCCCACTTGCCTCACCACTTGCCCACTTGCCTCAGCCTAAACGTGGGCAACTTTGAAAGGCCACTACTGGGACCTTCCGGAAGGCCGTAGACTTGGCCTTTCGTTACTGTAGCAGCTACGACCTTGACCTTTCCGGACTGTAGCAGCTACGACCTTGACCTTTCCGGACTGTAGCAGCTACGACCTTGACCCTTCGAGACAACTACAGCTACGACTGCGAGACCTGACTGGAAGTCCTACTCGACAGGTCTACAGATCGAACCCTTGCTACCTATGGACCCTACGACAACCTGGCAACTGTTACAAATTCACAGGTCACGGGTTCAACTCTCGAGGGTCGACAAAGATACTGTACACAGGTAAGGTGGGGACTAGGGATCGAGCCCTGGGATCTGCATCAGCTACTGCGAGCTGGTGAATACCGTTTCACTCCCGCCGGCCTAAATTCGAGGTCCTCCGAGAATAACTCAGTCCAAGGCGGGACCTTTACCTTTCTGATCTCTCTTGAAGGCTCTAACGATATCGGGAGCGGTCTCTAGAAGTTCTGCTCTAGTGAACCAGCGGTCATCCTCCGGCTCCTAATAAGCAAACCGGACCTTATACTGTTTCTGTGGACGACCTCTACCTCCTGTTCTGAACACATCTTCACCTACAATGTCGTCAATGTCATATCTGTCGTCCATGTCTGGAGGGAAATGTCGTCAATGTCATATCTGTCGTCCATGTCTTGAGGGATCATGGACCGTCTAGATGGAAATTGTTGAGTGGTGACACACGACAACAACTTTGATGCGTGGAACACAGGGTAGGTGTGGAGGTGTCCTGGGATCTCTGTAGTATAGGACGACCCATCCTCTCCACCCTTAACTTCTAGAACTGGCCACGGTCCTCTATACGCGGGCAGTAACTTCTGCGAGATTTTCTCCTCAGGCGCAAACTCTTTAGACTTGACCTAGACCAGGTCACCTACCTGAAAATGCGATGGGAGACGATGCTTATTAGCCTGTTCTATCATCCGATGTTGGGCCTTCCTGAGGTTTTCAACAACAGTGGCTACCTCTTTCTCATGCTGTAGCGCGAACTCCCTGGTACCGGGCGGTAGCCTGTGAATCTGATCCCGGTTCAGCCCTTCAAACGGTCTACGTGGTCTAAAGGACTTGTGTGACTCGTTGAGAGTGTGACAGGTAGACAAATGTATGCTGTTGTTGTATGCGTTGGCTACCTTGGGTAACATCTCGTCCCAGTTAATCTGATCGGGTCTAATGTACATGCGCAAAACTTGCTGCAGGATCTTGTTCATCTGCTCTGTCTGACCGTTAGTCTATGGATGGCGGCCAGACGACATCAGCAACTTTGACCCATAGACTCTCATGAGTTCCTGCCAGTTCTGGCTGGTGAAGCGACTATCTCTATCGTTAACTATGGACAACGGGACTCCATGCTCACTAACCCAAAAATCAAAGAACTTCTGTATTACTAACTCTGTGCGTGCCTCTGCAGGCAAAGGAACAAAAATAACATATTTGCTAAATCTATCAACTACAACCATGACTTGGCTCTTGTCGTGTCTACTCTTGACACCGGCATCCATGAAGTCAATGGAGACTGAATCTCCAGGCTGGTCTGTAATAGGCAATGGTCTGAGAAGATCTAGAGGGGCACTCGTAGTGGTCTTGTTCCTCTGACAGACTTTACAACTGCAGACATACTTTATGCAGTCGTTCTTCATTCTTGGCCATGTGTACGCGTGCATCAGATTGGCTAAAGTCTTTTGCCAACCAAAGTGGCCCTCTGTATCATGGCATTCCCTAGGATCAGACTACGGACTTCCTCACTGTTGGGGACGCATAAGCGGTCCATTACGTTAGTCTTCTCAAATAATAACCCCTCTGTAGTGCGGTAATATGGCTCAGTCTTTGGGGCCTCCTTAACTCTCTTAAGGAGGTCACTATAGATAGGGTCCTGCGCATATGCCTGTCTAACTTTCTCTTGCAGGTCACTCCCTATGTCCAGATAGTGAACTATAGCTCCAAAGTAGTCTGATCTCCTACTCAGAGCATCCGCAACTACATTGTACTTGCCCTTAACAGGCTTGAGCTCGAAGTCATATTGGCCTATCTCAGCGGCCCACCTAGTCAACTTAGGTGTCATCTTGGCCTGTGTCTTCAACCATCTAAGAGTCTCATGGTCGGAGTACACTTTGAAGTGCCTCCCAAGCAGGTGATGCTTCCAGTGCTCTAAAGCCTGCCCGAGAGCGTAGAGTTCTCTCTCGTACGTCGAGGTAGCAACCTTCTCTGACGGCATCCTCGCTGACATGAACTCTACGGGTCTGTAGCCATTGTCGTCGTCGTGCTGTAACACGACGCCTATACCATACTGACTCGCGTCTGTGGTAACGACAAATGGCAAAGACGGATCTGCTACCTTGAGGACAGGATACTCTATCAATGTGCGCTTTAATTTCTTTAGCGCAGACGTACAGTCTTAATCTCACTGCCAGATAGCCTCTTTCTTGAGCAACCTGCGAAGGGGAGCGGCGATGGTAGAGAAGTTCCTCACGAACTTCCTGTAGTAATTAGCTAGGCCCAGAAACGACCGCAACTCTGTCAATGTGCGGGGCATCGACCAGTCTCTAATTGTCGCTATCTTACTGTCCTCAGGCTTAATGCCATCTCCGTCTAACACGTGGCCCAAGTACAGGACTTGTGTCTTGGCCCACTCGCACTTCTTCGCATTGATCTTGAAGTTAGCTTCTCTTAGCTTCTCCAAGACCTGCCTCAAATGACCCTGATGCTCCTGGAGAGTCCTACTGAATACTAAGATATCGTCTAGATATACTATGACGAATCTATCTAACCAAGGCCTGAACAAATCGCTCATACAACGCTGAAACGTAGCTGGCGCGTTGGTCAGTCCAAAGGGCATCACTATGAACTCATAGTGCCCATAACGAGTCCGGAACGCAGTCTTATACTGGTCATCAGAATGGACCTCGATCTAATGGTACCCATACTTCAAATCTATCTTTGAGAAATACTTACAACCCTGCACCCGATCTAAGAGATCGTCTATCATGGGCAGTGGTTCAACATTTTTGACTGTAATCGCATTCAGACCCCTACAGTCTATACACATGCGCAACTCTCCTTCCTTCTTGAGGACGAACATAACTGGTGCTCTAAAAGGAGACGAACTGGGCCTAATCCAACCCTGCTCGAGGAGCTCGTCCAACTGCTTGCGTAGCTCCTCTAACTCTCTAGGGGATATCCTGTAGACGGCTCCCTTAGGAGTTCTACTGCCAGGCTCTATCTCTATCCTGTGCTGGATCGGCCGCGACACTACTCCTATCGGCGGCTCAGCTAAGTCTTTAAACTCTTCCAGCAACTTGGCAATGGCTGGATCTGTGGAACTTTCCCCTTCCTTAGGCTCAGTGACAGGTCTAACATATACTACAAAGACCTGATCCTCTAACTGCTCCATTCTCATTAGTCGCGCAATGCGGGAGCACTGAGACAGCAATGTGCTAGCGAGTTGTCTACTCCTGACACATGGAATAGACGGGCTGTCTTAACCTCGCCTGACGGACTAGGGAGCCTACACTCATGCTCTCAAATGGAGTGTGGCCCCTGCTGCCTCTCCCCAGTCCATGCCTAGGACTATGTCAAACGGAAGGTCATCCTGTACGAGGAGAGTCTTTCCTCCTCCTCTAACTGGATTTGTAACATCTTCTCCTTCTGAAATCTAATCATCTCCTCCTCCAATCTCTTCTTCTTCGTCGCCTGCTCCTCTGTGATAGCCTTTAGCTTTGCTTGCTTCAGGAGCTCCTTCTTCTCTTTCTTCTCTCTCGAAAGGGCGGCAATCCGGGCCTGCTCGGCCTCAGAGGGGGCAGTACTCTTCCCAGTACGGGTGTCAACCATGGTGGAAGGTGCACAACTGGACAATCGGTTCCACTCCTCACCACTTAGACTCTACTCCCCCTGACTGACACACCTACTGACTCAATCTATGGACTTACAGAATCCGGACAGGATCCTGTCAACTAGGGTCACTAGCCTGGACCTACTCTAAGGCTGTCACGACAAGATCTGTTGCTGATCAGGAGGCATTTAAGGAGATCCCCCGTGACTCCTCAGGAATTATTTAACGGCGCAGACAGGACGACGTGATCAGCAGGTCTTCTCAACACTTAGACGGCCTGTTGTGCAGCCCACAGCTCGGATTTTGGGCCTACCGTGCCACACCGAGCAGCCCGCCGGTCAGTACCGGTCCTTGGGAGGGTTCGTGTCCTCCGGGACAGTCGAGCCATCAGACGCAGTCTTTAGCCCTACTCAGCCAGTGTGGGTTTGGTCAACAAGGCCCTATCCTTCATCCACAGAGTTCCTACACCTGGACAGAAGAGACTCAATGCAGAAAGAAGAGACAGACAGACTTGACTCAGCAAGTACCACAGGGTGTGTGCACATCCATAGGGCGAGGGGATAGGCTGAAGGCTTGGCGAGAATATACCGGCTCCAGCTTGGTCAACTCGTGGTCAACGGTCTTGGTCAACGCCTTGGTCAACACTGCAGGCAACCCCCGGTCAACCCCCGGTCAACTCCGGTCAACGCCCGGTCAACCCCGGTCAACACCTCCGGTCAACTCCCGGTCAACTCCCGGTCAACTCCGGCTATGGCGGCCGGCTTCACCTTCGTCACCACCCTTCTCCTTCCTTCTCCCTACCTCGCCTCCTTTCT